TGGGGGGTCCCATTCTCAGAAATATCCTCATGAGAACCCTTCACAGCCTCTAAGAGCTGACGACCAGAGGACCAGCGTCTGTACCACCGGCTCGGGCATCAGTGAGGTTAAAATTTTGCAAGGAAGCTATTGAGCTTGTGCTGGAATAAGTAGCACCAGGGGACACTCTGCTTACTGAACCCGAATCAAGTTGCCAGACTGGGAGGACCCTAGGGACTGCCCCATTTCAGCTTGGTGTGCTTCCTTCCGCAAGGATCTGCTCGTATAGAGGATTCCTGGTTGTGCTCAGGGTCTAGTGCCCCGTGTGGATGGCCAGAAATGAACACATTATTTCAGAAACCTTATGTGCTGTGTATCTTAGTTCTCCTTAAGGTCTCAGGGCTTTTACTGATAGGGTTTTACTCCAATATGAAGCAATCTTTTCTCCTGGGAATCAATAAGGCTTTGGTAAAACTGAGTTATTATTTTTCTGAAATAATTTCTGAAACCATTTCATACTTGTGCAGGTCTTTACAAGCAGGCCTTATTTTCTCATCTGATTTACAAAGATCCTCCTTTATCTCTATGGGATATTCTCCCTCTAAATTCCAGATTAATACAATTTATTTCTTTCATTTTCTTAGTCCAGTCTAAGAATGACTTGATGTTTCTGCTGAAGCTTTTTGATTCTGTCTCTTACAGGGTGTTTTGATTTAGAGTACTCGAATATGATTTTTTAAGTAAATGATTATTTTCATTTCTTCAATCAATTTCATAGCTGGCTTTTTGGCTTGTTTGTTTGAGATTTTATAAATAAATGCAAATACAAATCAACACTTCTTGGGATCCATGGTCTAAGAAGGCGCCATTTCCTGATGTCCATGTCCCCAGGATTCATACTACCTTCCCCAAGAACAGTGGCCCAGTTTCTCCTTAGGAAAATTTTTTAGGAAATATTTACCTAGAAAGTTGATCTGACTATTGGAAAGCATTGCTTCCTAAAAGTATAGCTTCCTCTTATATTTTCTCTTTCATAAATTTGCCCACTCATTTCATTTTGAGGAATTCTTTTGAGAGCAGCTTTATGTTTCTTTGAAGATTGGAAACATTCTCCAAGAATGCTTTGTGCTATCTAACGCATTTCTTTATTGTCATAATTTCTTCTTAAAAATATTTTGCTTGCTTCTTGATGTTAGATTTACTTGGATGTGTACTATAGGACTTAGTCTTGCTTAATATGTTAGTCATCAGTCTAATAAATTGGAAACAGGGTATATTTCTTTTCTTTCCATTTTTTCTATGAGCATCTATTTTTCTATGTTAAGCATACAAGATTGTAGCTTTCTACCTTTATACATATTCTCCATGTGGCCTTTATCGGATAATTTGCACTGAAGTTTACCTTCTAGTACAGTTAAAGTCTGAAAATTATTTTTCAATATGATGAAACCTCTCAATATTGTATATCTTTATTTCAAGAGTAGAGATTTAGTAAGTTCATTCTGGTCCTTTGTCCAGAAATAAAAATACTTTAATATGAAAAACTCCCATTATGACTATAAAATGTATCATCTCCCATACCATCCTTAGTGATCAGCGTCTGGTTTAAGATCCCCTGGAAGCGTTGCCACCTTGTTACACATGGCGTCCAGGATCAACGTCACACAGGGCATCAAGACCATCAGAGGACTCTCACAGCTCCTGAGCCCGCTGCTGAGCCACCTTAGGTTGCTAGGAATCAGTCGCCACAAAAATAATTAAGCACTGCCATGCGCATAGCCTGAGAACCTGCCAGACTCAACAGACATCAGGGATGGAACAGGAAAACTCTACTTTCCAACCGTCCCCACACAAAGTCAATAACCATTTCACAGGAAGATGGAGAGATAGATTCTAGATTAGACTCTGTAGGCCAGAGGAGGTAACCTATGGCTCGGGTCCTTAGTCATTCCTGGTTCCTCAATAACTAAGGAGATAAAATCTATACCCATTCTATATCAAAGGCAAGAAAGCGCCAAGGTAGAGGATTTTTGTCTTAAGATCCAACCCTCAGAAAGTGTCCTGAGAGCCTTCAGCAAACTTAATCATGTGAGCTTGGAGACGTAATCCAGTGTATTACAACCAGAGAAGCATCGGATTTGCAGAGCCATCTGTTTTGAATATGGCTAGCACTGAAGGTGATGAATGGGAGAAAATTTATAATAAGCCCCTTACAGTTTCAGCTCATTTCACTAATCTCACCTTAACAAGTAAAGAAAAAATCACTGAAATTTCAAATTTTCTCAATTCAAGAGGGTGCTGGGTGAGCTGAGATTCACTCTCGTTTTTGTCGCTGAATATTCCCGGAACGGCAGCCTTATCCAGAAGATGTGGTGGTTGAAAATCCATTACAAATATATCATAGGTGTGTAAGAAAACCCAGCAATTTTCATGTAGCAGTAATTTAAAAGAACAAAATAGAAGTAAAGATAAATAAAAACAAAAGTAAAAATAAACTATAAATTTTTAAAAGTCAAACTCTCTGCAATTATAGCATTTATAGCCACCCTGTAGGATTTTTCATAGAATTTCCAAATCCATAGATCTTTACAGAAGACAACCTTATTTTTCTCAAGAAAAGAAACCGATTGGATTTAAACTGATAATCTTTTTGTTACCACTCCAAAACTTAAGCCACTGAGACATCAGGAATCTTTAAAATAAAAACAAGTAAGAAATATTGTAGAACGATTATGTATGCTTACCTCACTTTAATGCATCACACTTTTTTAAATCATTTTATTGGGTGCTCATACAACTCTTATCACAATCCATACATCCATCCATTGTATGTGAAGCACATTTGTACGTTTGTTTCTCTCATCATTCTCAAAACATCTGCTTTCTACTTAAGCCCTTGGTATCGGCTCATTTTTTCCCATTCCTCCCCCCTCCCTCATGAACCCTTGATAATTTATAAATTATTATTATCTTGTCATATCTTACACTGTCCGATGTCTCCCTTGACCCACTTCCTTGTTGTCCATCCCCCAGGGAGGAGGTTATATATAGATCCTTATAATCGGTTCCCCCTTTCTACCACCTCCCCTCCACCCTCCAGGTATCGCCACTCTCACCACTGGTCCTGAAGGGATCATCTGTTCTGGATTCCCTATTTCCAGTTCCTATCTGTACCAGTGTACATCCTCTGGTC